CGGTGCTCTATCCACTGCACCACCTAGCTGCCTAAGATAATGTATTTTTTAAAGTTTCTTTTCTTTTTTTTTAAATTTTATTTTATTCTGAACTTAAGAAATAAAACAAGCATTTCCATAACATAGTGGAATAGGAAAAAAATGATTGCACATGAAACTGCAAATTTATTGCATACAACTTGCTATTCCTTTTAAATATGTAATAAAGTTATCGTGTAACTTTTTTTTTCTTCCCTCTCCTTAGAGATGGCTACCATTAGACATCAATATGTATGTATATGTAAAATCATTCTATACATACTACTATTTATAAGTTCTTTCTTTTGTGCGTGTGTGTGAGGTAATTGGGGTTAAGTAACTTGTCTAGGGTCACACAGATAGTATCAAGTATCTGAGGCCAGATTTAAACTCAGGTCCTCCTTACTCCAGGGCTGGTTAGCTGTCCCTTATCAGTTCTTTCTCTGGATGCAGATAGCACCTTCCTTCATAGGTCCTTTGTATTTAATGTGGGTATTTATAATAGTCAAAATGACTTAGTCACTCAGTTTTTCTCAAAACAATATTGCTGTTACTGTATACAACATTCTCTTGGTTCTACTCATTTCGCTCTTCATTATTTCATGCAAGTCGATCCATGGTTTTCTAAGTTCATCATTTGTTAGAGCACAGTAGTATTCCATCACAATCATACAGTATAACTTGTTCAGCCATTCTCCAACTGCCAGTTATCCCCACAATTTCCTGTTCTTTGCCACCACAGAGAGCTGCTATAAATATTTTAGAATATATTACAGGTTCTTTTCTCCTTTTTCCCTAATCATCTTTGAAAACAGACCTAGTAGTAGTATTGTTAGTCAAAGGGTATAAGAAGTTAAATAACTCTTTGGGCATAATTCCAGATTGCTCTCCAAAATGGTTAGATCAGTTCACAGTTCTACCAACAATGAATTAGTGTCCCAGTTTTTCTATATCCCTTGCAACATTTGTCGCTTTCCTCTTCAGTCATTTTAGCCAATCTGATAGATGTAAAATGATACCTCCAGGTTGTTTTAATTTGCATCTCTCTAATCAATAACGATTTAGAGCATTTTTTTTCACATGACTATAAATTGTTTGGATTTCTTCATCAAAAAACTGCCTGTTCATATCCTTCTAAAAGTGCTTTTTAAAAATGCCATAAAACTTAAGCTATTATTATTGCTGTCACAATCCATGGCTAGCTAATTAATGCATGCCAACACATTTGGATGAGAAGTGCCTGCACCAATGATTTTCCCCTTTCTAAAAGGCATTTATAAATATACATTTGATATTACAGAAGCCACTTGCCACAGCATACATTTTTAATGACAATAGAAAGACTTTCATAGGCATAAGCAGGGTAATTCTAAAACAGCCTTCAATGAATTAAATTAAACTGAGTCATTTGTCATCAAATGCCAATTTCATTACAGCAGCCACCTGATTAGCCTTTGTGGAAGCATCCGATGTTGAGTTGGAAGGAAGGTCAGGATCCATCTAGTATAGGGGTGTGGAACCTGCAGCCTCGAGACCACATGTGGCCCTCTAGGTCCTAAAGTGCAGCCCTTTGAATCCAAACTTCGCAGAACAAATTCCCTTAATAAAAGGCCACAGGTTCCCCACCTCTGATCTAGTATAACTCCCTCATTTTACAGATGGGGAGACTGAGGCCCACCAAAGTTAAGAGACTTATGCAAGGTGACATAACTAGTGTGTTGGCAGACCTGGATGCTGCATGGCATTATGGAAAGAGCCCTGGCTCTGGACGCTGAGGACCTGGGTTCAGTTCTTGTTGTTGTTCAGTTATTTCGATTGTGTCCCATTCTTCCTGACCCCATTTGGGGTATTCTTGGCAGAGATACTGGAGTGGTTTGCCATTGTCTCCAGCTCATTTGACAGATAAGGAAACTGAGGCAAACAGGGTTAAGTGACTTGCCCAGGATCACACAGCTAGTAAATAAGGTCGTATTTGAACTCAGGTCTTCCTAACTCCAGGCCTGGCATTCTATCCACTGTACCACCTAGCTACCCAGGTTCAGTTCTACCTAAGGTTTCTATCTTGTATTACCTTGGGTAAATCATTTAACCTATGAGCCACAGTTTGCTCATCTGAAAAATGAGGGGTTGGACCGCATGACCTCTTAACCTTCTTTATGTCATGATCCCCTTTAACAGTCTGGTGAAGCCTGTTGTGGTTCCCTGCTCAATATACTGGTTTGTTGCTTACATTCATAATGGAAAGAAATACTAAATTTCAGTTAGAGTTTATTATAAAATAAAGATATAATTTTTTTTCCCACCCAAGTTCATGGGCCCCCTGAAATCTATCTCCAGACCCCTTTATCTCTGTGGACCCCAGGTTAAGAATCTCTACTCTAGATGTAAAATAGCTGCTAATATTTATGTATGTATAGCTTTAAGGTTGTCAAGCACTTTACACACATTATCTCATTCAATCCTCTCAACCACCTCAGAGGTAGGTGCTATTACTCCCCCCAGTTCTCCTATGAGGAGACTGAAGCTCAGAAATGTTAAATGATTTGCACAAGTCACAAAACTAGTAATTATCTGAGATGACATATGAACCTAGGTCTTTCTGACTCAAAGTCCAGCACTGTAACATGTGTGTGAAAAAGGGATTATTAGTGAGTTATTAGTGAACCTAACCAGAGTTCCAATAACTGAGGAGACTATGAATGGTTCATTAGGGGGCATTGGTCAGAGTCATCAAAGTAAATTACTTTTAATCCCACCACCATTCATTGCTATTCAACCTGTCTCACGGCTTTCCTTACTCAATGGAGAAGAAACAGGAATCATACATTCTCTGTGTCTAGTACTTTACACCAATTTCCCATACAACATCTCATTTGATCCTTACAACAACCAGGTAAGGAAAGCTCTGTGGGTGGAATGACAGATGGAGAGACAGAGATTCAGGGTGGTTCAAAGAAAAGCCTAAGGTCATAAAGTTAAAACATGACAGAAGTAGAGATTGGAACCCAGGACTTCTGATACTAATTCCACTGCTATTTCCACTATACTAAAAGTAAATGACCACCTGAGAGTTTTTCCAAATAATTTCAAAGCACTATCTTTCCGCTGCTGGTAGATATATGGAGCAACGTACACACCTCTACAGTCAAAGATTAACCCTTCCAAGATTTCCTGCTGCCCTATAAAAAAGTAAAAACCACTGTACTTCCAAACTACCAACTACTCCTCTCAAAGTGTGTCATGCTTACAAAGTACAAAGAAGTGCATAAAATATGCCCACGTGGGAATTACTCTCCCATGCACAATTTACAGAAGCACATACCCACTTCTTGCAGCTGTATGCCAGAGCCAACTCAAACCAGCTAGAGAGTCAACTGTTAAATTTTCAGCTAGCAAAAGCTCCAAATCAAGGCTTGATTGTTTTGTTGATTGTCTAGGCTTAAGAAAGAGAAAATGTTAATAATGCAGACTAAACTTAAAAATGTGTCCTGTACCACCACCCTCCAAGGGCTGGTTGTTAAACACTTACCAACATACCCCTGTCCAGTTTTTATGAGAGTTTGAAAGAAAACATTATCCTAAGAGTTTAAATGGATAGCCTAATTAGAATCAGGAAGCAAGACCTTGAAAAAAGTGGAAAATTCAGAAAAGCTTTTTTTAATTGAAAAAATTAGAGAGAGGAGGTATGATAAATTTTGTTTTTGGTAATGATGAATAAAATGCTTATGAGGAAAAAGGTCAGCTTACATCCAATCTGGTATGATAGATGGAACAATGAACTAGGTGTTATAGGTCCTAGCACCACTATGGTATTCTTTTATTTAGCATATTATTTAACCTCTCTAGGCCAATAAAGTAGTTTGTCAAGTGAAGGGCTTGAAGCACCTTTTTTTTAATTGCAAAATTCATTTATCAGAAAATGAAAGCAAGTTAAAGTAGAGAAAAAATAAATCAGGGATTCTTCCCCTTTTGTGTGTCATGGACCCATTTAGCAACCCGGTGAAACTTAAGTTTGGTTCATTCATTCATTCATTCATTCATTCATCCATTCATTCATTCATTTATTTATTTATTCATTCATTCATTCATTTATTCATTTATTTATTTCTGAAGTATTACTAGACTGTTTTTAAATACATAAAATAAAATATAGGATTACAAAGGAAACCAATTATATTGAAATAGTTATTTAAAAAAAAAGCTTATGGAGCCCAGATTAAGAACCACTGGATTAGATGATCTCTAAGGTTCCTCTGAATTTTAACATTATACGATTCAATAATGTTCCCAGGGTCCTGACATCCCACAAAAATTATTTCCAAAAAATTTTCATAATTTTTTTTACATAAAACAAAGTACCTGATCAGATAGATCATTAAAATACCTACATGCATTCATTACTTGCCTGAGTGACAATACAAGTAATACAGAAGGAGCAAGGGAGACGATGATGCATAGATATACCCATATTTATGTAAAGGATATGCATCCCATGCCCTAAAGTTTGCAGCATCATTTAGTCAAATATTCCCCCAAAGGGCTATAAAAGTGCAACAGAAGTTATAAAATACTGAAAAGTTATTCATGTTGTTGCTGTTGTCTCCATAAAGAAGAATGAAGAAAAAAAAATAGTGACTCAATGTCTATGGAAAATTTGAATGAGATGGAATGTCGATGGTTATTTAAAAAATTAGGATGCACTTAAAGAAATAGTTCTACTTGATGATGCGTGCCACCTACATCCTGACCCAAGAGTGCCAGATTCAAGGTGCAAAATGAGATCTATATTTTTGGACTGAGCAAATGTGCAGATTATACTTATTTGTTACAAGAATTGCATTTTTCTGGTTTTATTGGGGGTGGAGTGGAGAGGGAAAGGATTTTCAAACAATTTTTTAAAATAGTAATACATAAAAGTACTTAGAAGAATATATTTAGGAATATTGTAGGGTATGTTTTCTGGGTTTAAACACAAAATTCCTGTGCTTGCTTCGGCAGCACATATACTAAAATTGGAACGATACAGAGAAGATTAGCATGGCCCCTGAGCAAGGATGACACGCAAATTCATGAAGTGTTTCATATTTTTTCCTCATCTGTAAAACGAGGTGGTTGGACCAGAGCTTAATGTTCCTTCCAGCTGTGATATTCTATGCTTCTGAATCCACATGTTTATCATTAGCTACAAGAACACCGACCACCACTTCTGTTTCAAGTGGCACATTGTCCGATTGCGTTCATTTGTCATGGGGTTCTACGTTCAGTTGCGTGTTTAGGGAGAAAACACTCCTGTCTGCTTCCTTCCCTACAGCCACGCAGGAAGGGAAAGCTCACACCATGGGTGTGATATGCAAGCCCAAGAAGTAGCTTTAACTTTTTCTACCAGAGGACTTTGACACAGATCTAAGTTCTGTCTTGAAATGTGCTGTTGTCATATCTGGTTGTATGTAATAGGCCCAGGTCCCTTATCTGTATATGTGTGAAGCAGTTGGAGGGATCTTTGAAATCGAAGATGATTCTTTGATATTTGGATTGTTCTTTATCCAGCATTGGCCTTATTTGTTCTAAATAAACTGTTCTGAAAACTAAAAAAAAAATAAATAAATAAACACAAAATTCCTTCAAAATTATTTAATTTCTTAAGTAATTAATTACCAATGAATCATGCAGTACACAACAGCAAGACATTCCTTACCAAATAACTTAGATAAAATAAAGAACGCTATTTCATGGAACATTTGGTCATCTCATATTGCAATGCTCATAGTAAGTATCTACCAAAAAAAATTATGAAAATAATTGCAGTTTATATCAACCAGTTAGAGAGCATGAAAAAATAGAGAAATTCTACAAACAACTCAGTAAGAGACTCTAAGTCAAATCAACATATACTTGGATCCTCAGTGACTTGAATGCAAAGGTACTAATTGATCAGGATAATGAGAAATATATCAGAAAGCATGTATCAGAAAAAAGGAATGAGAGAATCCAAAGACTTGTAGATGATATAGAAGCTCACTTTTATTTCACCAATATCCTTCTCAAGGACTGGTAGGTACAGGATATTTTAAGCACTAAATATGACACAAAATGAAACTCATTATATTTTTAATTAAATTTTATTTTATTTTCAGATTCACATTCTCTCCTTCCCCACCTTATCTCCCCCTTAAATTGAGAAAGCAAGAAATACAAAACCTTTGTTACAAACATGTACAGTCGAGCAAAATGAATTCCTGCATTGGCCATCTCCAAAAAAAATTGTACTCTGAGTTCACTCTCTATTTTAAAAAACTGGAAAAGACATGTTACTGATGTGAATCTTCTCTGAATCAATTGTTTGTGTATCATCAGATCACTTCTTAGAGCAAAGAACAGTATTAGTAAATAGTTAAAATAAAGAATAATAAGAAAAGGTTATGGTCACCTAGAATTCTGAGGGGAGTAGCAGCCACTCTGAGGAACTGACTTGCTCATCCAAGTTGGGAGGATGAATCCTAAGCTTTCCCTATTTCTACAATTAAAACAACTCAATCCTGAACTATTCAAACAAATAATTATGAATGAAAAATAGATTGTTGTTGTAGTTTCAGTCGTGTCCAACTCCGTGACCTCATTTAGGATTTTCTTGGCAAAGATACTGGAGTAGTTTGCCATTTCCTTCTCCAGCCCACTTTACAAATGAGGAAATTGAGGCAAACAGGGTTAAGTGACTTACCCAGAGTCACAAAGTTAGTAAGTGTCTTAAGTTGAATTTGAATTCAGGTCTTCCTGACTCCAGGCCCAACACTCATACTTTGCTGGAAAAAAATTAAGGCCATTCATTTAGAACTTCCCTCTTTTCACATCCTCTTAACATCATCCTCCGCTATTTCCTCATTCACGCCAGTCTCTGATGATAAGTTGGTTCTTCTCCTTGCAAAGGCCAAACCCTCTAGTGTACTCTTTTTTTTTTTTGGTCTTTTTTAAATAATATTTTCCCCCAATTACATGTTAAAATAAATTTTTTAAACTTTTTTTTTTAAAGTTTTGAGTTCCAAATTCTATCCCTCCTCTCTCCCTTCCTCCTTCCCTGAGACGGTAAGCATTCCATTATAGGTGATTCCAGTGTACTCTGTCTTTTCCAGCAGACTGTCCTCACTATCATCCCCCTTCTCTCTCTAATTTTCAATCTCTTCCTATCAACTGGTTGCTTCCCTGACGTTATCAAACACCCTATCTCCCTGATCTATCAAACCCCCTCTCTTGATCCTACCTCTCCCACTGGCCATTTGTCCACATCTCTCTAATTCTTCTCAGCTAAATGTCAAAAAGCCATCTATATTTGATGCTGCTACTTCCCTTCCTTTCATCGTCTTCTGAACTCTCTGCAACGTGGTTCATTGAATGGAAACTACTTTCTCCAAAGTTACCAATAATCTCTTAATTGCCGAGTCCAGTGTTCTCAGTCCTCATTCTTCACGATCTCTGCAGTATTTGATACTGTTGTCCTCTTCCTCTCTGGGTTTTCCTAACTTCCTGGTTTTCCTCCTACCTACCTGACTGCTCCTTCTCAGCCTCCTTTGCTGGATCTTCCTCTCAGTCCTGCCCACTAACTGTAAGTGACTGCGAAAACTCTGTCCTGGGCCCTCTTTTCTCTCTATACTTTCTCATTTGGTGATCTCATTAGCTCCCAGAGATTTAATTATCATCTCTTTGAAGATGATTTTCCCAGCCCTAATCTCTCTCCTGAGTCCCACTTCACATTACCAACTACCTTTCAGACATTTCAAACTAGATGTTCTTTAGGCATCTTAAACTTAACATGTCCAAAACAGAACTCATCACCTTTCCCCAAACCTTTCTCCCTTCCCAATTTTCCTATTATAGCAGAAGGCACTACCATCTCCTGGAGGTCAACAAAGCTAACATACTTAGTGTAATTCCAGTCTCATTACTCACACTCATTTAACATGTCCATCCATCCAATCTGTTGCCAAGATTTGTTGTTTCTTCATAACATCTCTTTTACACATCCCAAACTCTCTACTCACACAGCCTAATTCAAGCCCTTGAAACCTTTCTTTGGCTATTTCAATAGTCTTCCATTGGTCTCCCTGCCTCAGATCTATCCACGCTCCAATCTATCCTCCACTCAGCTGCCAAAGTGTTCTTCCTAAAGTTTACTTCTGACCATATCACTCTCACCCTACCCCCAACTGGTCTTTATCACCTCCAGGATCAAATAAAGTCCTCTCTTTAGCATTTAAAGATCTTCCTATCCCTCTTCTTATCTTTCCACTCTTCTTACACTATAATTCTCTTCTACACATGCATGTTCTAGTTACATTTGCCCACTATTCTATCACCTGTCTCTGTCCCTTCATATTGATTGTCCCCAGTGGTGTGCCTGAGACTGGCCTAACTGTTAAATTTTCAGTGTACTGACACTTTAGAAATCACCAACCTCTACAAATTAGGGCTTGATTTACTGTTTTATTGATTGCCTAGACAAGAATAAATTAATAATTCGGATTAAACTGTTTTAAAAAGTACATTTTTTTTCAGAAGAGGCCAATTAAACATTTACCAGCCCATGACTATATTTCTCTGTAAACACTGCTTGAGGGGAAGGAAGGAAAGGGAATAAGCATTTATTAAGTGCCTACTACATGCTAGGCACTGTGCCAAATACCTTACAAATATTATCTCATTTGATCTGAACTTTGAGTTCACCAGGAGTGCAGTGCACCAGACTAGAGGCCTACTGACTCATTTTGAGGCTAATAATCATAAAAACTAGTATTCATATAGTGCTTTAAAGTTTGCAAAATACTTTACACAGATAATCCCATTTGAGCTTTATAACACCCCTTTGTTTCTCTCCTGTGCCTGGACTGTTCTCCCTCCTCACCTATGTCTCTTAAAAAGTCTGGTTTTGGGGCAGTTAGGTGGCGCAGTGAATAGAGCACCAGTCTTAGAGTCAGAAAGACCTCAGTTCAAATTCGGCCTCAGACGCTCAACACTTACTAACTGTGTGACCCTGAGCAAGTCACTTAACCCCACTGACTAGCCCAAAAAAAAAAAAAAAGAGTCTGGTTTCCTTTAATAACCTCCCAAACAGATTCACTCTTCTACTCATCCAGTGGCTCTTCCAAACCTTTTCATCCCTCTGCAAGCCTCCCTTTACATCCTCTCAGCTAAGGGCCTTGCCTCATATTTAACAAACAAATCTGGGACCATTCATGCAGAGCTCTTTCTTTTCTCCTCCTCATCTCACATCATTCAGATCTCTTCAACCACTCCCTCCATCATCCTTGTCTCACATGAGGAAGTGGCTCTTCTCTTTCCCAAGGTAGACCCCTTTATATGCTGCTTTGATCTCATTTTATCCCATCTTCTCCACCAGAATGTCCCCACGATCATCCCTACCAGGACAGTCAGGAAGACCTGAGTTCATATCCAGCTTCAGACACTTACTATCTGTGAGACCATGGGCAAATCACTTTAACTTTTATTTGCCTCAGTTTGCTAATATGTAAAATAGCACCCACCTTTCAGGGTTGTTGTGAGAATCAAATAACATAATAATTGTACAGTGCTTAGCACAATGCCTGACACATAGTAAGCACTATAGAAACATTAGCTTTTAATCTCTCCTCAATCTCTATCCACTGACTGATTCCTTGCTACCTATAAACACACCTTTGTCTCCCTCATCCTTAAAAAACCCTCACTTTAACCAACCGTCCTATTATCTATTGTCCTAGATCCCTCCTTCTTGCCTCCATTTCCTTTCCTCTCAACTTTCTTTTAAACCCTCTACAATCCTACTTCTATCCTTATCTTTCACCTGAAACTGCTCTCTACCACCAATGTCTTAATGGCCAAGTCTATTAGCCTTTTCACAATATTCATCCTTCTTGACCCCTCTACAGAACTTTTGACACTATCACCTTCTTCTTGATACTTTCTTCTCTATAGGTTTTCTCGATCCCATTCTCTCCTGGTTCTCATCCCACCTGTCTGACTGCTCCTTCTCGGTCTCTTTGCTGTATCTTAACTCAGGTTTTACCCACTATGAGTGTCCACTAGGACTTTGTCCTGAGC